GGGAGTATCAGCACAATTTGAATTAAATATGATTTAAAGGCGAAGATTAAGCGTTCTAACACCAACACTCGTATTAAATAGCATTTTTTAATATGGAAACTTTGTGAATATTTTAGAAATCTTTTCGTTGTCTTTGGAAAATGAGCTTACTTTTGATATTTTATGTTTTAATTGATTCAAAAATATGGGTGAGCAAAAATTATTAGAATAATGAATCCTGGAATGTCGAATCATGGAGAGTGTTAAAGATACATCTTTGAATGGAATTTTGAAACACGGTCAAGGCCATCCGATCTTAATCCATGTATTTCTGTCTATTAGGGGAGATACCTGATATCTAATGTTAAAGCAAAAAAATCCACCAACTTTGATGTAAAAGAAGGTATGACAAGTGGCATTCAACTGATTTCTCTTCATATGATACTTGCTGCAGTATTATTTGGATCTGTGATACGTGAAGTTTCATCGTGTGTGAAGGAAGGACTTCAGAAAATTTATAAAAAATGAACTCGGTTACTTTGCTGTTGTTTTTCTCTTTTTTTTCTTACTTTCTGCCTAACACCCTCCTTTTACAAGCCACAAATACCGTTTAAACTCATTTTAAATTTCTTGTTGCGAAGCTCACTTTTAACAACAAAACGTAGCTGTAGCTGTCGAAAATTTTGACATTTTGCCTCTGTAACCGCAACTATGAAAGCTCAATTATTATTTTTCACAACATTCAGAGTGTATAACTTACAATACTTTATTCAAAATTTTATTCCGTTACCTTGAATAAAATGCATGGTAGGAATTCTGTGTATCTACAAATTTTTTTCATAATAACCCTATATATTTAAAGCTAACAGAGATAAAATTTCTCGAATTTTCATAAAGTTCTCTCTCTCTTTAGGTATGAATATTTTTGAAAATGAATGTATTTATTTCTTGTAGTAGCATCATGCAGAATAAAAGTACATCAAAACGCACTTCCTTAACAAAACCACGAATTACAGCATTTTCTATATTTAGAATATAATTAGTTTAAGTACATAATTCAGTAATTTAAGTAAGTAATAAAAATGAGAATAAGAAGTTCCATTTAAAAGTTAGGCAATATTTTTATTATTTTATGTATAAAATCCTTATTTATGTACCTATGTTTCAAATTCTATTATACAATCACAGAGTTATGATTTCAAAATTATATATTGAAGTTATTATAGTAATTGAGATATTAATTCTTCTGAGAAAAATGAAATTTGAGTTTCGAAATTTCGTGGTGAGTCTTGTTTCTTATTTCTATGAAGCACAAAAAACTATTTTATGTGGTCTTAACAATACCATTTTATTCCTAGTAAACTTCTGCTTCAGAACCAACAAATAAGAAACAAAATCAATATTTTGATGTTCGGAAGATATATCCTTGTCTTAATAACTGTAGTTCATTTATCTTTTGAATTCAAAGAAATATTTTTCTACTTCTCTTTTGATTCATGGCAGAATATTTATTCTTTTTATATATTCTTTGGTAAATAAATATATATAATACTTTAAAGTGAACGAACAATACATTTTAGGTTGTCTTGAGGAAGGATTTTTTGTCCATTTACTTAATTTCTCATGAATATAATTAATTGTCACATAGAATTGTGAGTAATTAATCTCTAGAAACTGGTGATAATTGTAAGTTAATATTTACCAAAGCAAAGGGAAAAGAATTCTGTAATGGACTTATTAGATTAGACCTTCGTTTCCTTGAATTTCAATCTCTGAGAAGCAATGCTCCTTATGTAAATAATTAAGTTACTGTAAATATCAATTGACAACACATACATAATCTTTTAATTCCTATATATGTATACTGCTGTTTATAAAAAAATGCAACACCATGAAGGAATCATCAAAATTAAATGAAAATGAAATTTAATGCACAAACAACTTGTATTTATACAAATAAATAATGAAATTTTCAAAACAAAAAAAATATTAAATGTCTGAAATCAGTATTTGGTGTAGCCACCACGTGCTGCAATAAGTACTGCTATACGACGTGGCATGGAGTCCAATAGATTTTGAATGTCTGCTTGTGGAAGAGAATTCCATATTACTTGCATGTGCAGCAAAAGTTCTTTTTTTGAAGCTACAGGACGCTGATCACGAGCGAGACGCCGATCAACCAAATCCCACACATAATCAATAGGTGACACATCCGGCGAATAAGCAGGCCAAGGAAGAAGTTGCATGTGTTGGGCTGAACAGAAGTCTCGGGCAGTCTTTGCAATATGCGGGCATGTATTATCCTGCTGAAAGATAGCTCCAGGGATGCCTTTGAAGGAAGGGAAAGACTTCGCGCGGGATGCCGAACTTCATGGACGTACCTGTTGCTATTCAGATTACCCTCAATTCGTAGCAAATTGGAACGTCCATGATACGAAATCGCACCCCAAACCATAACTCTGGGTGTTAGGCCACTTTGTCGTTCGGTGACGCACTGTAGAAGGCAGCGTTCATCGGCATAGCGTCTAACACGAATGCGGCCATCATGGTTCCACAAATTGAAGTGTGATTCATCTGAAAAAACAACTTGGTGCCGATCAGCTTACCAGGCTCTGTGCTCATGAGCCCAATACAAACGCAACCATCGATGGTTTGCCATGAGGGGGATCCTGTATAAAGGCGCCCTTGCACGCAATCTACGGTGTATTATACGTTGACGAATTGACGAAGCCGACATTAGTATACCTGTAGCAGTAGACCAACGTGCTGCCAACTACCTGAAGGAAGCTGTACGGTCATTCACGGTCAAAGAGGAGCAAATGTTGATCGTCGCGCTCTGACACCTCCTTCCGTCGTCCACTGCCAATTTTTCGAGTTGTTCGGTGCTCGTCGGTCCACTGCTCCCAAACTCGCATCACTGTGGAACTGTTCTGCTGCACACGAGCTCCTACTGCACGATAGGAAAATTCTCTTTCTCGATGGCCGATAATCCTCCCCCGTTCAATCTCCGTAAGTTGTTGGAACTTCTCCTTATTTCGTCGTGGAGGCATACTTAAGTCTCACGAAACGTTCGCCACTAATAAATAATCCTTAACTATTATCAACTTCCCGCTAGAGACCTCTATTTATACGCTTTCAGCATCAGTTTAGAGGGCGCTGCAAACGCCACGCATGTGCACTGACTCTGAAACTTTACTATTTTACGTAACATCCTATAATTGATATTTGCTGCAAAGTTCATTTAATTCTAATGATTCCTTCATGGTGTTGAATTTTTTACAAACATCAGTGTATACAGGGTGTCCAGCCTTAATGTGACCCAAGAGCTAATTCCCGAACCGTTCGGTTTAGATATGCACTTCCAATTTGAAAAATGTTTTAAAACAGGTAAGGAATTTTTTTACGTACTTTTCGAACCAAAAAACCCATTTAGAAAAAAATTACAAAAATTAATTTTTTATACGGTCCTTAGGTCCTACCACTTATATTTAGAAGAACATGCAGTACACACAAAATAAAGTAAACACAAAAAGTTTCATTTTATTACGATAAAAACTGGCCGAGTTATGGAACTTTGAAAATCATACTTTACATGCATTTCCTCGGCTAATTTCAAGAAGCTAGTAAGGGGCCGTCTCCAAAGTGAAATTAGTTGGAACTCTGCTAGGAAAATTTCGCTCTTGCACGTCTCTCTTATGTAAATCGTTTTTAAATTTAAAAGCATACGTTAATAATACAATAATTGAGTACTTAAGAAATAAAATTTATTCTGTGTACGTGTAAAACATAGAAAAAATAAAATATTTTGGACGAAGAAAACATTTCAAAAGCAGTTAAAAAAATAGACTTATATGCTGCGGCTTCAGTCTGATTCTGCTTTTTTTCTAATCATGACAAACGTTAAAAATCTGTTGTGTAGTCGTTTGCAATTGCATACAGTCGTATTCTAATATTACGAATTCTAGTAGGGGAAAACGAGATGTATTCAAATGAAGAAACTGCGAAATGGTACTGTTTTATGGGCAGTGTAATCGAAATAAGAGAGAGGCAGCAAGACTTTATGCCATTAAATTTCCCACTCGAAGACATCTATCTTATCGCACAATTGTCCGTGCTGTTCAACGCTTGTACAAAACTGGGAGTTGCAATAGACGTATACCCTGTCTCGTGCCTTCAACATTATTTAAGTTAATTTGGTCATTCTGATATAATAAAGCCCCTGATTCATGATTGGCGCATCATTCCACATTATGCTATAATTTGAACGGCAAATCCTGTATTATTTTGCTGCTATTTGTTAAAACAAAGTCTTTTAATCTTTTCGGTACAAGTTGTATTTCTTTAATTTAATTTTTATTGTTTGCCATACAGCAATACAAATTGTCAATCTATGATGTTTACCACGATATTTTAATTTTTCTATGATGTTTTATTTTGTGCTCTTTCTGTAGATAGTGAATTACTGCTTTCTAAACTCAATTTATATACGTCCCCCTTTTCTGAGCAACTCCGATGCTTCAGATTTATGTAGGCCTAACTCGGCCAGTTTTTATCGTAATAAAATGAAACATTTTGTGTTTACTTTGTTTTTGTGTACTGCATCTTTTCCTAAATACAAGTGATAGGACCGGGGGACCGTATAAAAATTTAATTTTTGTAATTTTTTTGTAAATTGGTCTTTTTTGGTTCGAAAAGCACGTAAAAACATTCCTTACCTTTTTAAAAACATTTTTTAAATTGGAAGTGCATATCTAAACCGAACGGTTCGGGAATTAGCTATTGGGTCACATTAAGGCTTTACACCCTGTATATCTTGTTCAAATTTTCAATCCTTCGTAAAATACTGTCTATTCATCTATTAATTTTCAAGTACATTTTTTTTTAAACTTGTAGTGGAGGGCACTTTTGATGTTAATACAGTTTTTTTCAATTATTATTTCCCTAGTTAAACTTAATTAATGAATAAAGAGTAACACAAAAATAATAATCCAACACCATATAAAAAGAAAATCACCCGTTGTGTCCCTGTAGCGCAATGGATAGCTTGTTGGACCTCTAATCCAGAGGTCGTGGGTTCGATTCCTACCTGGGATGGCTTTATTTCTGAGAATGTGATTTATGAATGAATAAATAGTAACGAACGAAAATAATACTTCAACATTATATAGAGAAAGGAAAATTGCTTTCTATTTTGTCACTTAATATTGTGATTCTGTCATACGTGTATACATATTTATATTAATTGTAATTATTTAAAAAAGTAACTATAAAATAAAATTTTTCTTTGTTGACCTGAGTAGGAATTAACTTAAATTTTTTTTTCATATTACTTGTTCTGATAACTTCATCAATCCGCTCTCATTAAGTTTCTGGTCCTTATCAACAAAAAACTCGACAAAGTGGGATTTGAGGTCATCGTTATTATTAAAATTTTTACCATTTAAAAAGTTTTGTAGAATTCAAAATAATGATAATTAGATGGTGTAAGGTTGGGACTGTATGGAGTATGTGAAATCACCTCCCATCAAAGTTCCAATAATTTAGTAGGCCTTTCTTAAGAATATGTTAAAGATGCTTCAAGTTTGAACCATGGTCATTTTCGATATGTTATTGTAGACGATCTATTTTTTATCTCCGACCTTGCACCTTTGGATTGTCATTTATATCGAAGTTTACGAAACTTTTTAAACGGTAAAAATTTCAGTGATAAGGATGACCCTAATTGCACTTGGTTTTACCAGAAGTTCTATGATCTCGGAATTAGGGAGTTACTAGAAATATGTGTGGCAACAGGTAATCAAACGGAATAATGGAAGATATTTGACTGATTAAAGCTTATTTTTAGTATAGAGAAGTTTCACACGAAAAAATTAAATTACTTTCTTTATAATAAAATAAATTAGAATATTAGTAGTTATAATATCATATTTTAAGTATCATAGTTTTGATATTCGTATATTTTATTGATAGTGACAAACGTAGACCATATATGATTGAAAACAAAAAAAATTGAATCTATTCTCTTAAGTACAACGACTAACATTCACTTAAAAAAGGTTTATATTACAAAGTTTGTTTCCTTTCAAAAGAAATTTACTGAAATAATTTTTATTTCTTCTACTAAAAGAATTTTGCAACAGTCCAAAAAGAAGAATAACGATAAGAAAGCTTTTGAAATTCAAGAAATTGTTTTTCCTAGAAGCTGAAAACCCAACTGTATTAAAACTCTTATTTTTATACCTGTTTTTTTTCTACGAAAGAAATAAATAGAGAAGATCGTTAAGGCTTATACACAAATATACATAGAAAAATAGACCCGTCCCCAACTCTGTTCCATTTCCAACAACCTCTCAAAAGGACTTTCAGCTCGACGGATACTTAGAGTGCTGCCATGTTGTGTGTATGGGCACTAAGAATTTACAAACATCCATGCCTTCTCCAGGATTCAAGCTCGGACCTCACGGCACAACAATCAGCGTCACTAACTACTAATCCGTCTGAGTAAATTCCTGCTTTCCTTAATTTTGAAGAATGCTATTTCTGACAGAAAACAAATATTTCCAAGTTTTTTTTATTTGAGTAAGAATTTTTTTTTATAATTATATATCCTGCAATGCAGGAATAGGCAATCTATGATACTCCACGTAAACAGGACTCCACACAATCCTACTAGGACTCATTATTTTCAGTCCTTACTTGTGTTTTCCTCTGTTTCAACAAGAACTTTATTTTGATACAATATGACAGTAACTACGAAGTCTATGACTTGTGTATAACACAGTTGATAAATTATTGTAGATATTTGGCCCAAAAATTTCTTTACAGCAGTGTCATTATTTGTTGATGCGGCTGTATAAGTTACTAGATCTACAAAAGAAAAATTTTCAGCTTCTAGGAAATCATTTTTAACGTTGTCTTTTCATCACAAAACATATGCTATCTGAACTAATCCTGAATAGAAATCTTTTTCAAGAGGGCGTGTGTTTTGATATTCCTATACCAGTAATTTATTTCACTAGTCCATTCATTTAGCATTATAGAAATATTTTTTACCATTATTCTTTATTAATATAGTTCATTTGTAGTTCATTTTGATAGTTTCATAAAATGAACAGATAAATGGATAGATAGATTCGAGAGTTGTTTTATGGTGAGGAATAGCCTCGTTGTTGTATTGACTCTCATATGAACGAGCTTCGTGTAATGCTTTTAATGATTTATCCATCAAAAGCAGCAAAGTCTTAACCCAATTTCGTCTAAAATACTCCTCTTTTTGTGAACTGAGGAAAGCCTCAAACTAATTTTTTGCCCGTTAATTTTCGTGGGCTTTTTTAAATGATTGTGGAGGTTTCTGATTATTTATCCTTTGAAGATTAACATTTTGTAACAGTAATTACAACACGCCTTGTCTTTTTTGACCCTTTTGAAATAATTCCAATCATCTGATGATTTAGTATAAATAATTACTAAATAATGATACTTCAAAGAATTATATTTTTAACGGTTTATAAATTACAATAATATCAGATGAATAAACACTACAGTCTGTGCCAGGAAATAACAAGCAGCGAAATTCGTTCTGTACTTCATCTAAATAATCTCAACACACGTTTTCTTAAGTAGCCACATTTTTTAAGCACTTTTTTTTAAGAAGAAAAAAAAAGTAAGTTACACATTTCTGAAGTCTGATAAAGACTGGCCCTCTGGAAGACCACCGCACTCATTGACTGAACAGCGTACAATACACTTATATAGGGGGAGCCAAAAGTCTTTTGTCCTGATTATAAATATTTATTGTGCTCAAACTATTATAATTAGGCATATGTTTGTTTGGATATATTTTAAATACTGTTATATGAATTGTATTATGAGACCATTTACTTTGGTAAATTTCAACGTGTGCCCCCTTAGTAGCTCGGAAAATCTGTAAGCGGTATTCTAGTTCCCGCCAAATGTTCCTTAACATGCCTTGCACTTTATAAGCATTTTATGAAGAATTTTATCAAACTTGTTTGCGATATTCAAAGTTCACGTGATGCTTCACAAGTTGATTTAGTACTCCATTGAAACGATTATCGAACGTATTCAAAAGTTTCTTCACTCACACTAGATCTGTCACTTCTAGGAAGTTCCTAAACGCTGCTTATTTTTTTAGAGTTTCATAGCATCTCTTTATTAATTTTGCACTAGAAAGTCTGCTTCCGTAACAACGTCCAAATACGCGCTGAACATTAATGGGCGTTTCTCTTAAATCGATGCCATTTTGGAAAAAAATGTCACTCTTGAAGAAGCGTTCGTGCCATGTACTGCAAAACACCCTACTTAAACTGACTTATCCAATAATACAACAGTTACATTATTATATTAAATGGTTGTTTTGTAATGAATTTTTATAATCAGGGCAAGACTTTTGGATCACCCTGTATGTCTATTCAGCATATCACGCGCTATTCAGCAGTCGCCCTTCACTCTAGAAACTGACAGCTTTTTTTCTGACCTGTCCCAGGTATACACAAGATGCTTACTTTTTACTTACATTGAAAGCATTATAGCGGATTAATCTTTTAAGTGCCGATGGCATGTTTACATGTCCTGATGAGCTGGTGCCTTTTAGTGCCCCGGGCTTGTATACCCGTCCTTCCAAAACAGAAGTTTTTGCATTGGGCTGCTCTGTTTAAAACTAGTCCCCTGGCTTTGGAATACAATATCATGACATTAACAGTGCTTCTAAAGAATTTACTTGTTTCGGAGAAGAGGCGAGGAAGGAATTTGAAAGGATATATTCCACGAACGATGAAATTCAGAGCTAATAAGCTTTTCTTGATTTTTCGTTTGAGTGTGCTCTTGTCTATTCTTTATATGCTGTCATTTTTGTTTACCATGTGTACTAGGAGTACACATGGTAAATGAACATGTACAACTTCGTTCACCATGTGTAATTTTTTGTAAGAACGTATTGAATGTGATACTGGTTTATGATTCAAACATGCTTCAGGATATATCACAGAACAGTTAAGTTATAATTTATTTTTCATTATATTGTAACTCTAGAGATTAAATTTTTAATTTTAATTTTATTATTTTACCCTTTTCTTTTCTTTCTTTTTTAAAAATAAAGTAAACAATTTTTAGGTCGAAAAACACGCCTTTTCTCCCCCCCCCCAATAAACAGCGTAACAACGTGAGTCGGTTGGGAAAAACGGTGGCACTGGGGGCTGAGGAGTGAATTTTGTAACATTTCCTCGGCAGTTAAGGGGTTAATATATATATGTCATGTATGCCATCCATTTGGTATAGTGGTTAGCGACTCTGTCTTCTGTGACGTAGGACCTGGGTTCGAATTCAAAAGGAGGCATGGATGTTTGTAAATGGATAGTGCCCCTGACTGGAGGCCCCCCAGGGTGTACTCTCTCAAAATTGGGATGGAAACTAGCTAAACCGTACTGTAACCTGCATGGTGCTCAAGGCTACGGCTAAGGACAGGTAAGCAACTAGACATTTGCCATGATGAATTTGGTGGCCGCGATCTAGCACAAGCCGATTAAGTGGTATTAGTAACAACAACAACGTTATGTATAAATATAAAACCAGTTTGTTACGGGTCTATTCGGATTTTTCTCACTAACAATCCTCTTGAGGAAAAATGGGTCTTTAAAATTTAATTTACTGAAAGCCGTCCTTCGCACAAGATGTGAGTATATAAATTAAGACTTTTATATAAAGATTAAACTTTCGAGTTGGAAAATGATAGGTTGGAGAGAGGATAGACTGCTACGGCTAGCAGTAATTGGTTAAACGTGAAGTGAGGCATGAATATACTTAGTAGCTGATTATTATAATATTTAAGTTGACGATTTGTCAATTAGGATTCAAATTAGATTAGATTGCTATCAATTAGAAGGTATTACGTAGACGTAAGTAATTTGTTTATTTAAAGTCCTCTCTTATCTCATCTGCCTCATTATTGTTTTCCATATTTGGTATCTTTCGGAGTATCTCTTCAGTTTGGTTAGTAGAATTTGTCTTATTGTTCGTATCAGAGAATAAATTGAAGGTATATTGACTATGGCTAATCTTCCTTTCGACCCTTCCAC